TGGGGACCTAAGGGTACCTCTAGAATATAGGACTTGAGGACCCAAAGGTACCTCTAGAATATAGGACTTGAGGACCCAAAGATACCTCTAGAATATAGGACTTAAGGACCTAAAGGTACCTCTAGAATATAGAACTTGAGGACCTAAAGGTACCTCTAGAATATAGGACTTGAGGACCCAAAAGTACCTCTAGAATATAGGACTTGAGGACCTAAAGGTGCCTCTGGAATACAGGAGAGTGCTTACTGTAATTAGTACTAGACTAATTAGCGCTAATTAGTTAAGTACTCACATAATTAGTAGTAATCAAGATGAATACTAATTAATTAATAATGACTTAATAGTGGCATACTGTTTGTTTCAAGATATACACAGGAAACGAGAGAAGTATATAGGTTGAGGTAAACTGTGGACTCGATTCTGATTGGTCGATTTTTTCTAGATGAAGTGAACCATATTTCTTCGGCTAGCGTGTTTGGATAACTTCCTATGACCTAACATTTTTGATTGTCTTGATGATTCTGACGAAATTTTAATGAATATTGAACAAAATTACAAATGTAATAGAGATATACCATCATTTAAATGTGAAGAAAAGATATGTCAGTATACATTCATGACAAGTTCTTGTGTGCATCAACGTAAAATCTTACTTTTGAAAGCGATCTATTCTACTAAAGACGATCCGATATCTGAACAATGTTGGTCAGCTTTCAAATGTCTCTTAGAAGTACCAGGTTCAGAAGAGTCATTGTGTATTAAAATTTGTGAAAAATCAGCATGTGTAGATATTATTCATAACACATGTCCAGACATTTTTTATATTCCGAATACTCCTCTGTTTTTTGGTCACATTTACCTTGCACATATAAAACAAGATTCATTATATTTGATCGATAGCAATTCTGTACCACCTTACACATGCTATAACAATTCTTATTATGATAAGTATCATATTGATCGTCCTAAGGTTTTATTCAAAAATAAAACATGTTTCCGTCCTACTCCATTATACAATTTAATGATTTTTTCTACTACATAGAAAGATAGATATGAGCCACCTTTAAACACACTATTCGAAGATCTGAAGAGATTGAATCTAATTACTAATTATACTTCTGCAATTTGTAACAGATCAAACATGTACCAATATTTTAATTCATCAAAATGTATTTCAATAAGTCGTCTCATGAACCATAAAAACGATTGTCCTTATGCTGATGGCGAAAATATAGCACAAATGAATTACACTAATTTAACAGAACTTTTAAAACATCTTTTTAAATGTGAAATAGCTAATAAATACATACATACATTCATCACTTGTTAAAGATGGAGTCTGTCAGTGTAGACTTCAAGATCAAAATTGATGTGACGATGAAGATTTTCATACACACTGTGTCAGAAAAAATATTTCGTTTCAAACTATTTGTGATAGATTTATTGAACTGAGTCCGATAATTATCGAAGAACAAAATGTAACAGATGAAAAAGAATGTGAACAATGGTCATATATTAATATTTATACTCGTTGTGATGGTTTATGGAATTGTCCACATGGTGAAGATGAAATTGGTTGTAATTTATCTTCAACATTAAATTATTCATTAGATCATCACAAATGTGTTTCACTTTATACAAATGAACTCATTTGGTTTCCTATTAAGCGAGCAAATGACGGTAAAATCGATTGTCTTGGTGCTACTGACGAACCAACATTATGTCAAGAAAAATATCGCGCAATATTTTATGATAATTTTTACAGTATAAACTCTAGTTATCACCCATGCATTTATTTTCAATTTTTATGTAATGATTTTGCAAATTGTGATCATGGAGACGATGAAAGATTTTGTGTAAAAAATGAGAAAAATATTTCTATGTTTCAAAGTATTTGTCTTTCGTCTGATTCATCTATTCATTCTGATATCGAACAGTTTTTATGTCACGAAACAAAAACAAAGATAAAACAACAAATTAAATATTTTTCATTGGATCAGATGAACAAAATAGTCGAAGATCAAACTAAGAATATGATAAAACCCATATTTTCAAGTTCATTTGATAGAGAAACGTCTCATCAATATGAACTTCGATGTCATCGTGGTTTTGATTTACGTGTCTTGTTAAATAATGAAAAGAATTTAACAACAAATACATGTCTTTGTCCACCTAGTTTTTATGGTAATATGTGTCAATATCAAAATCAACGAGTGAGTTTGACCATTAAATTTCGAGCATTATCAGATTCATGGTCAATATTATTTGCAATAATTATTTCACTTATTGATGATAGTGAAGAAAGACTTATACATTCATATGAACAATTCATTTATTTGTCAATAAGAGATTGTAAAATTAAATTTAATATTTATTTATTCAATTCAACTCGACCAAAAGATTCAACAAAAAATTATTCAATACATATTGATATTTATGAAAAAATTTCATTAATCTATCGAGGAAGTTTATTATTTCCAATAAAATTTTCATTTTTACCTATTTATCGTATCGCATATATAGTTGATATTCCACAAGTTAATGATAACATCCAAAGTTGCTCACGTTCTCAATGTATTCATGGAAAATGTGTGAAATATTCAAATAACCAACAAAATACTAGTTTTTGTCAATGTAATCGAGGATGGTCTGGACGATATTGTACTATTCAATATACTTGTATTTGTTCATCTGATTCAATATGTATTGATATATTAGCTTACAATCGATCTATATGTGTTTGTCCTATTAATAAATTTGGTGATCGATGTCTTCTTATCAATAGAATTTATCAAATGGATAAGAATTTAACAAGTCAACATGGTGGACAATGTATTCCTGTTGATGAATATATGATATCGAATCAAAAATATGTATATATTTGTTCAAAAGGTTATATTGGTAATCGATGTGAAATAGCTGAGAACAAAATAATTCTATCATTTGAAAATAGTATTATTTTAACTCAATCGATATTTATTCATTTCATAGAAGTTATTAATGACGGTACACCGATGAGAACAACTACTTTTCGAACAATTCAATTTACACAACATTTACCTATCATTGATTGATCACAACCATTTCATCTTGTTTTTATTGAACTTTTAAATTAAGTTTATTATTTAGTTGTTATTCAGAAAACTTATAAACAATCAATAACAATTACTAAAATGATAAATCCATCAGATCGTTGTTAACATATAAATGAATTATTTAATGAAACTTTTGTACGAATGCATGTTATTCATCGTATTAAATATTATCATTTACCATGTCAAAACTATTCATTAAATCTTTCTTGTTTTTATGATGATTTTCAACGTTTAGCAAATTGTTTTGACTTTAATCATAAATATGAAATTTGATTGTTTAGGTCAAAGTGTTTGCGAAAATGATGGACAATGTTTTCAAGACACTCTAGATTGTCCACAAAGATCTATGTGTATTTGTTCAGCATGTTTTTATGGAACACGATGTCAATTTAGTTCAAATGGATTTGGTTTGTCAAAAAATTGTAAAAATTAGTTTAACATTAACTATAATCTTTATGATTGTAGGCTTGATCAATAGAATTTTAGCTTTGATTACATTTAAGAATAAAATGATATCTGAAGTTGGTTGTGGTTTGTATTTATTAGGTTCCTCAATTACTATTTTACTTACAATGATTATATTTGGATTGAAATTTTAGATACTTATTCTTACACAAATGGCCATTATATCTAATAAATTATTTTTACAAATTCAATGTATATCGCTCGATTGTATTTTACAAGTTTGTCTTAATATGGATCAATGGTTAAATGCATTTGTTGCTATTGAACGAACAGTGATAATAATACAGGGTGTTCATTTTCATAAGAAAAAAAGTAAACAAATAGCAAAAAAAGTTATTGTTATTCTTCTGATTATCATTATTGGTACTTCTATTTATGATCCTTTTTATCGACGTTTAATTGATGAAGAAAATGAAGATGATAAATGATTATGGTGTATTATTACTTATCCATCTAGTTTTAAAATATTCAATTCAATTAAACTGCTCCTATTGTATTAATTATTCTTGCATTATCACGTCTAATTCTTGTATTTGTATCAAAATGTATGAAATCAACAAATGATGCATGGTTGTTTCTTATTGGATATTTTATTTCATTTATTCCACCTATGCTTACATTCGTTGTATTTATATTACCATCAAAATTTTACAAGAGAGAACTTCATAAATCTCTCGTTAATTATCGAACTAAAATACAACGACGTTTAAATTATATTATATAAAAGTAAGTAAAATGATTGGATTGACATTATTTATAACTCAATTAACATTCAGTCGTTCGTTTTGTTAAACTAATTCAACATTTTTCTCAATATTACTAAATGAAATAATATAATTGAGTATTTTAGTATTGTTATTAATTAAATGTCAAAAATTTCTGAAACCTTGAAAATCTATGAGTCAAACTGTTCGGATGTAAAATGCTCATACATGTAATCTATCGAGACATGACTGAATACGGATTTGTAACCAAACCAATGGGTTTTACATAAAAGTCATAGTTTTCACACTTTCTATGAAAGAGAAACTAGCCGCAAGTACTTTCTTCTGCTAACCGTATGTGATAGTTTTTCAGTTGTTGATAGTTATTCAATCATAGGGCTCTTTTTTGGTATTGTACGAACAGCTATAAAACGATACATTTTGTCATTTTAATCAAATACTTTTTGGTTTTTCTTCGATAGGAAATGTTCATAAAAGAAAAAGTGATTTTCATATGAAAGTTTTACACCTAGCTGCTGCTATGAAATTGAAGTGTTATTATAGAAAAAATGCATACTATTTTGTTTTTAGATCATTTATTCGGATATCATACGACGACCATATGATTATAAAACAATTTTAAACAATTTATTGTTGTCTATATGGATTTCATTATATGTTATATTTGTCTTTTTGCTTTATCCTGTTTTGACACATGTTCCTAGATGAAATCTTAACAAATTTCTGGAAGTGTTTGTTTTCTCTTCATCAAACTATACTTAATGTTGTAATATGATGGTAGACTTCAACAAATTATAATGTTTTTTTAACATAATAATACTTAATCTATGCGCTTTTGTCTTGTGAGTGCGGGGTGAATGGCTGTGGGTCAATTTTGGTTTTCTCTTCTCCCACACTCGAACTAAAAATGATGTAAAGATCGAATAATATGTGGCATTGGACTTAGCGAGGTCTCATTTGAAGGAATTAAATCTGCTCTGCAGAATACGCGAAATGCCAAGCTTTGAAGTTGAATCGTAGTAAAATGATAGTGTAGTGAAGCAGTAAAACTTACTAATTTGTTTACAATCTTACTAGAACGAATCATTTTAACAAATTTAATATCCCATTTTCTTCAAGTTTCAACATTCTTTCAAATGATACACTTAAGTGTTAAAAATTAATATGAATCTGTTCTATATTCATTAATGAATATTGATTAAATATAATAAACATCAATTAATTACCATTAAGAATATTCAAAAGTATTTTTTACTAAAATATTGCCTGTTGAATTCTGTATCGAATAGTATAGAAAAAGAATTTAAAATAATTCTTTCATAGTGAAAAATTAATAAAACATTAAAAGTGCTCTAAACTTTTGTCTGTCACTTTAAATTAAACATTCTCTTCACTGTCAAAATATAAAAAGAATCACATTGTTTGTTTGCGAATTAACTCAAATTATTGTACTCAGAATCAGTATAAAAAATTGAGTCGAATGACACATATTTCAGTGAAACATAGTTTTTATCAGAATTAAATCTTTACGTAATATGCAAGTATCATACATATTAGTGACTAAACGGTTCAAATACGATCCGTTTATGGTATGAATGAAATACAGGTTAATTTTTCATCAACCACAATACGAATATTATGAACAAGAATAAAATTTTATCAATTAATACCAAATGAATAACGATTTTTCTTATCGATTACATATCCGGTATTAAAAACTTTTGAAAACTTCTCTGTTGAAAATATTTACAAAGGATTTGAGCATATCAAGAATAATTACTTGAATTCGATGCTATATATACATGTTATCTAGTGTATAGTAAACGATATTCTACTGTCCATTTTTTTTTTGAAGACTGTAACCCACAAATCTATGATGAATAATTTCTCGATTATATTTAAATAACACGCTACTCGACATTTATAGGTGATTTGTACAACATCAATTTAGATTTAGAAAAAAAAAAGGCAATGCTACTAGATAATATGCATTAGTAATTGATAGTTAAGGTGGTTACTAAGATCCAAAAACTCGATGCATTATTTTATTAATAGCTGCTTTGAATTCAATTCGAAATGTTCTAGATGTAGCTAAATATATGTAGAATGTTGAAGATGGATTGACATAGATAAGAAAAGTCCCTGTAATAAAACTAATAAATCCTTCTATTGTTTGTTGATCATCACTTTTGGCCACTGTCATTGTTACTGAACTGTACAAAGAATAAAACGGAAAGGGTAGTGTGGACAAAATATATACGACTACTTCAGCAACCAACATTCGTGTCAATTGGAAATCACGTTGACGCATGCCATGTAATGCTGGATGAACACGTCTGTATGCAAGACGTATATTATGTAATGTAATCACACTAAATATGATCATGAGGAGAGGTGGTGCTACGCCGACAATAATAAATACATAAATTCCGAAGATAGTATTGTATAGACTTGATTTTGTGCATTTACCGTCGATAATCGTATTCCAAATGAGCAAATGAATAGAGGCGACAAACCAAAACAAAGTGCAGAACAAAATAAGTGTCCGAGCAATTCGTAACCTACCAAGATTTCTCATGGATACTCGACTAGATGAGATACAGGCACGATCAAAACAGGCAAGAACGATCAAAGAACGTGAGAGCATAATACTAATATGTCCAATATATCCGCGTAATTTGCAAAAAATTAATGAAGTATTAGAGGGATCAGATTGCTCAATCCCATAAATACTTGTTGGTGCCAAAAATATCAATAATATAATATTCGCAATAGAACCTACTAATAGATAACATGAGCACGAATTTGATCGAAGTTGCTTTCGACGAAAAACGAGACAGTTACATAGGTTGCCAATATTGCCAAAGACAACATAAATTATCATAAACCATCCCATATATTTTTGTATAGATAATAATTGGATGGCTAGAGATGAGACCATGTTGATGTTATTATATAGAGTATTTGGTAATCCTTATAGATGAGAAAGAAAAATTGAGAATGTTTAAAAATTTACTACTTGAATTACTAATTCAAGCATTGATAATGAGATCGTTAATGTAATACTCTAGATATAAATCATGATAAGTTTGATAATGACTAGAACTTCTTAGATTTGGAACGTTTTAAAAAAGTCGAGTAATATTTTTAGGTAGAAATGAGATTGTATTCAAAGAATAGCATGATGCCAAAGTAATTTATAGGAAGATCCAATACGCAAGAAACTTTTAAAGGACGAGACATGTTTTCAAACAGGATCTTGCTTTTCTTTTCTTCTTAAACGACGATTTTCAGTCTACATGATAGTGAAGCTAAAGGCTCAGTCAAATACTTTCGCAGAAATATTCTACTATTAAATCAAGCAAGACAACTCATCATGATGGCAGATGTTTTTCTTTCCACGAGAAAATCACAATTATTTGAAGAAGCAGATGTGGCGTTACATTTTTCTTGACTCATATTTTAACACTCGTTATTTCTTATTTGTGTTGCACGAATAAAAAAATTTAATTGTAGTAATTGAGATCAAACATATAAGTTATCATCAAGATTTTTCGCCAAAACGCAACGTATACAGAGAAGAGAAAGACATTTTCTTTTTATATAAAAGCTGTGAATCTCATGATATGCTATCTCTGTAATTATTCAAATATAAATGATGAATATTCATTTCTCACTTGGAGAAGTGCGTGATCGTTAATGACTTTTGTGTGTGTCATATGAGGTTCACACGTCTTCAAAATATAATCAAAATCATTTACGTTAGAAACGATTACTTTGCATACAAGTTCTATCTATTGAGGAAAATATGATTGGATTTTTACAAGCTATCTTTTGTTCAGTATTTCAACGTTACTGATATAATTGTATCGAAAAACAGTTACTATAAAGAAGGTAAAAGAAAGAATGACAAAAACAGTTCTTGAAAACGTTTACATTTTAATGTGAAGCTCATTAATTTTTTTCAAACGCCACCGAAAACTTGAGCACTTTCAAAAATAATATAACAACCTTTGTTCTTTTTTTAGTTCATATCGATTGATAATCGTGTTTATAAAGCCAACGTTATATACACCCTTGATTTGCTACAATTCTACTTATCTTAATCTGTTTTTTTTTCAGATTGAACATTAATAACATTAGATAAGCATTTTAAAACATATATGATGATTTCAGCTTAGTTGTAAATTATTAGAAAAAGCATATCCAACAGAATGAAAATTTTGCTTTTAGGTTTTTTAATATATGTTTTTAAGTAAAAAGTCCTTGAAAACTTGAAGGATTTCTTTTTATCGAGAAAATTATTCCTGTTTCAAGGAAACTCGAACTTCTTTCTATACAAATCTTATCACATTTAGAAATAAAGCGTTTCTTATTTGATGTCTAAGTCTGATTCTGCAAATGATACTGAATCGATTGCGAAAATATTAGTTTTTTTGGCATGAACTAACAGCAGCTTTAATTAATATTCTTCTTCCGCACGGTACAGCTTATTCCTGTATATGATGTTTTCAACTTTCCATTAATCTATGAAAATAGGCTCTGCATAAGTAAGAATGCCGTAAAGGACCATAAAAATTTCCTATAGATTGATGTTACAATTGGATGACATAGAGAATTCTTTAGAACGACCTTACTGTTTTGAAATAAGTAAAAGTGTACTGAAAAGGATGTTTAAAATCAAATTTGCATTGCTTATATAA